CAAGCGACGTGTCGTCGCGACGCAACTGGTTTCTATGTAGTTATATGAAATAGGTTTCGTGGCTAGAGACACGTCGTTTGCCTAACGGCAGACGACACTGTAGCCCGACCGCAGATCGGTAGTGCCGCCAACGCCCAAGCGATGACACGTTATATTTTTCTTAAAAATGAGTTTCACCGATTCCGAGGAAGATTCACTCAATTTTTCTGTTTTCAACATAGAACGTGTGTCTTTTCGTCTTTTCTCTTTATACTTGTATAACAAAAGCAAGTCATCATCATCTTCTTCCTCTTCTAACAAGAGATAGAAAAATAAATCATGATTGCTAATTTCAAGCACGTTATTATACATCATGTCCCACTGAACACTCGGAACCGACCGGACACAGGCTGCTGCCGTCTGAAGTCAGGTTCGGAATCATGAATGCAGCGACATGACACCACGACACGTCGCAGCGACATGACACCACGACACGTCGCAGCGACATGACACCACGACACGTCGCAGCGACACGGTACGTCGTCTGCTGTTGCTGCCTGCAGTCAGCTACGGAATTGCACCTTTATTCTGTAAAGAAAAATTGTTGAATTGACATCGATTTTTTTTCTGAATTTGTGCATTGTACGTAAAATACTTCACGTAACGGAATTGTAAACCGTTTGTTTTTGTGAGTTTTACAAGATTCCGTAATGCAAATGGCATAAATAATAAAGAAAAAAAAAGTCCCTGTTTGCCCTGTTTGTAGGGATAGGTACTGTGTGTGTAAATTCTCACAAGACTACTTCGACGTAGTATGTCGGTTTTTCTTAATTATGTACTTACCCCATACTTTCGGACAAAACATTGACTATGACATTATTTGTCTCTGTGCTTACACTATTCTGTACATTATTTGCCGACTCCGTCGTGTAATTTACATTTTTAGAGTTTCTCACTTCATCACGCAGAAACGTATGAATAATCAGTTTTGCTAATGTAAATTAGTAAAAATCAATCCTATTAGGCAGCCTCCAACAAAATAGTACCGTAAAAGTAAGTAAAAATATAACCTCAAAGTGGAACGTACCACATTCGAGGAGCGTTCTTGCAATAAACTATCTTTGTTTTACCACTTAAGTAATGATTATTTCTTTTCCTACGCTTATTCACATTTATAGTCACTTATAAACGCATGTAAACACCTAAATTAACGATTTTCAATACAGACATAACTGACTATTGTCACCTTACGCCACACATCGAAGCGCCTGGTAATTTATGACGGCAAACTTTTATCTGGCAATATACAATATTATTACTAGTCGTTTGTAATTAAAATGAATTATATTAATAAAAAAAATTGTATCGCAAAAGGCCGAAAATGAATAAGACATGCACCTTTGGAATCGCAATACAAATCGTAAAATCGTAAAAATAATTTTTCCTAAATTTATATTCACAGAGTTTTGGAAGAAAAATAATTTGGAGATATCATTTTTAACACATTTTTTAAATTAGTATATTGACTTATTTTAAAATTTAAAAAAGGCATACACCTTGTGAAAGAACCGAACAAACCTATAAAGTATGTTTTAACGCTCAGAATTACTTCAGGTCAAAGTTCTAGTGAGCAGAAATACATAAAGTTTCGCCACTTCTATTCGTATTCGGCCTTGATGGAACAGTGTTCCAACTAATACTCTTAGACAAAACGGCGTTAAAGTGGCATTCAAAACAAGCAATTATCTTAGGAATATTTGTAATACTAAAGATAAGTTGAATATTAGTCAAATATCGGGCATTTATAAACTTGCTTGTGACGAATGCCACACCTTTATGTGGGTCAGATGGGTCGCAACATCGATGGGGACACGCTATAAAGAGCATTTACCATGTACAGAAATTGCAATCCTGATGAATCCCATTTTGCTAAACATGCACATACAGTGGAGGTAACGTTCTTTAAAAAATGCTGTATATACTGTATATACATGTACTATTGCTCATACAAAAACCATATCTTATTTACATATGTTTAATATTTATACAATACTAGCGATCCACCCCGGCTTCGCACGGGTGATTTCTGGATCTCGACAACAGCGCCACCTAGCGGGTCCAATTTAGTTTTTAAGCCATCCAGGTACTTACTCAAATACACCCGAAAACTCATCAAAACAGCTCGCGTGCAGTTTTCGTGTTTAAGCAACACTAACTGACCGCAATTGATTTTTTATATAAGATAACAAAATGAAAAATAATAAATAAAACAAAAAATAATAATAGTTTTATTCAGAATTGGTCCATTGAGATATTATTGTTACAATAATAATATATTCTTACAAAGGAAAATGGCGGACTCCCAAACAAATTCCCAAAAAAAAATTATACCTGGTAGAGCCATGCTGCAGCTATATTATGGTTGTGGCACGAATGGGTCGGCTCGACCGGGGAATGACCACGCTCCCATAGAATACCAGGGTAAAATAGCAGCTTAATACTGCTGAGTTTCGTATGGTGAGTGTAGAGATCTGGACCCCTTTTTAACTGGAAACGAGGTATTCCATCTTAGTCCTCTTGGGTGTCAACGCATCTGTGTTTTGATTCTTAATCGAGGATAACTGCAGATAATGTGTCTATGGGCCACAACATCCACTTTCAATCAGGTGGACTGCGTGCTTGTATGTCACCCTTATTCTATAAAAAAATAGCGGATATTTTTTTTCTTGCGTCTACAAATGAAAAATATGTAAATTATACAGTTTCAAATTCTAAACATTTTTTTATTTGATTAAAACTACTTTTACGGATTTTATCGCGTTTATTTTTACTTTTTATTTTAATTCCCGACGTTTCGGACGCTTTCCAGCACCCATGGTCATGGGGGACTGAGATGACTGACGTCCCGATGTCACCGTTAAACCCGGAGTACCTTCAGCTCAGGCTTCAGGGCTCACCTGTATCTCCCATTGTCGCCGATATATTCATGGAAGACTTTGAGGAGAAAGCCCTCCTTACTGCACCTGTTACACCAAGGATCTACAAGCGGTACGTAGATGATACTTTCACAATTTTACCATCAGACAAAGTAACTGCATTTTTAGAACATCTTAATTCCATAAACGCTAAAATTCAATTTACTATGGAGTTAGAGGCAAATAATTCCTTACCCTTCCTAGATGTATTAGTCATCCGAAATCCTAATAACACCATTGGTCACACTGTGTATAGGAAAAAGACCCATACAAACCGATATTTAAACGGTGAATCTCACCACCATCCTTCACAGTTAGCTACCGTGGGCAAATCTTTGTTACAGAGAGCACGAGGGATCTGTGACAGCAAACACCTGGCCGCCGAGCTTCAGCACGTCAAGCAAGTTCTGCACGACAACAAGCTTCGGGTCCCGCGCCTACGTCACCGTGACCGAGTGAAGCCGGCCACAGTCGAGCGTGTGCCTGCTGTACTACCATATGTCAGAGGTGTCACAGACAAGATTGGCTATATCTTGAAGCGAGCTTCTATTAGAACATTCTACAAGCCGCCGAAGAAGATTAGTCAGTTCCTACCATCCGTCAAGTGTCATATTCCTCTACAAGATGCAGGAGTGTACAAGCTTGATTGTGAATGTGGTCTCTCTTATATAGGACAAACCAAAAGATCAATTAGGACCCGCGTAAAAGAACATATAGCTGATGTGAAGCATCAACGTTCCGGGAAGTCTACAGTTTGTGATCATATCCTAGACGGCCCCAACCATTACATTAGATTTGATAGACCACAAATCCTCGCGAAAGAACACCGATTCCTACCAAGGATGATACGTGAGGCTATTGAAATTAAAAAACATCCTAATTTACAATAGAGAAGGAGGCTGGGTACTACCACCTGCTTGGGATCCTATAATCAATAAAATTAAAACTAAACCCAAGCATACCACTGCAAGACCTCAAGACATAGTCAGTTCGTTTTGCATAGATCGGACCATAAACAATAATTAAAAAAGCTGAAGGTACTCCGGGTTTAACGGTGACATCGGGACGTCAGTCATCTTAGTCCCCCGTGACCATGGGTGCTGGAAAGCGTCCGAAACGTCGGGAATTAAAATAAAAAGTAAAAATAAACGCGATAAAATCCATAAAAGTAGTTTTAATCATGTGCAATGTTCGCGTAAATATAAGAAATCATTAATTTTTTATTTAGTAATACTACCGCAGGAGGTCAGAAATTAAAGGTATTTCAGTTTGAACAAAATTAACATCATACAAGAACTTTGCCTGCCTTAATTGGCAAATCGTTACAAAAACAACAACTAGTCAATATGATTTTCAATTATGCGTATATAGAGTAATTACTAGGATAGTGGGAATTCTAAAATAACGCACTAGTACATTGGGAAGAGTTTTGTGAAAAAAATACATATCAGACTAGGCTGTATGGTATACGATATTTGCCTGCCTTAATTGGCGAATCGTAATAACTACTTAATTTAGTTTTGAATTAGGTATGATGATTTTTTTTCCGGAACTTAATAGGATATATCCTTGATTATATAATACATAGTCATTGAGATAATATGAACTACGTACTAGAGACGACACTGCATGTAGTTACGCTGTTCCATTCAATAGCGGTGTTAGCGCCGCACTTTACTCAGCAGTGTTGCCGTTTTAGCCACTTTGTGGCTAGATCTAGCGGATTTTCAAAGGTTTTAGCCAAAAAAAATCAATTTTAGCCACCAAAACGAATCTAGCTACTTCTAACTACTTCTGGTAATTTTTGTTAGCTACTAAGTTCTTTTAAAGAAACATGTGGTTACCGCCTTTTTGCTGAGAAGGCAACACTACCGCGGTCCGCTCACTCTCCGCGCCGCAGGTGTAATCTATGATCGGGGTTTCCCCAACTCCACTCATATAGTACCGAAAGTCGAAACGATAGATCGCATTGTTCTTGTTTAGCCGTAGCCTCTCACGCGTGGATAGTTCTTACATTTTTCATTTTTGTTAAGTTTTAAAGGTGAAATGAGAGTCTTAAGTTCTTGGAAAGTTATTGGAAATATCATGGATGTTTCTCTCAAGAAAATGAGCTACATTCAAAAATATAGGACTGAATGGGAGAATGACGAAGACTTTAAACAGTGGATAAAGCCAATAGCGGATAGTCCAACGAAAGCCTTTTGCAAGTATTGTCATGTAGAAATTGCTGCCAAAATTTATGATTTACGTAAGCACAGAGAATCTAAAAAACACAAAGCAAAATGTGAATTAATCACAAAAAATAAACAGATCCAGTTTACCTCTACACCTGATGATGGTTTAAAGAACAGTCAAAAAGCTGAAGGCCAGCTTGCCTTGTTCATTGCTGAACATACTTCCATATCCAACACTGACCACCTTACAGACCTTTGTAAAGAAGTTTTTCATGATTCAAAGTGTGCCAAAGATATAAAAATGCATAGAACTAAATGTACGCAAGTTATAAATCAAGTGCTGGCGCCGCATTTTAAGGATACTCTTCTAAAAGATATTGGCACGCAGAAATATAGTATTATTTTAGATGAATCTACGGATGTTAGCGTCTCAAAATACATGGGAATAATAATACGATATTTTAGCCTGAATACGAATAATATTGTGTCATCATTTCTGTCTCTGGAGCCTATTGAAAGAGCTGATGCGAGAAGTATTGTCACATCTTTAGTAAAATGTTTGGAGTCACAAAGTCTTCCAATACAAAATTTGATTGGGATCGGCACCGACAATGCCTCGGTCATGACGGGCCGAAATAACAGCGTAATTGAAATTTTGAAGAGAGAATATAATTTACCAAATTTGATCCTCATTAGATGCATCTGCCACTCTTTGCAATTGGCGGTCAGCCATGCGTCTGAAAGCAATCTGCCACGTAACATAGAATTTCTGATAAGAGAGACGTACAACTGGTTCTCCATTTCTCCAAAACGCCGAGACGAATATAAAGCGCTGTTTCAAACAATTAACTGCGGGGATGAACCATTAAAAATATTAAAGGTTTGTGACACCCGTTGGTTATCAATAGAGCCTGCTGTGTTGAGAATATTGGCACAATGGAACGAGTTAAAACTACATTTTTCTTTGGCCAGAGAGAAGTGCTATACAGCGGGACTTCTTTGGGAAATGTACAATGACGAGGGTAATCGTCTTTACTTATGTTTTTTTGAAAAGTATTCTTCACGGCGTTCAAATTGGCATTAAGGTATTTGAAGGTGAAAATATTGATCCTGTCAAACTGTTAGAAACTCTGATGACCTTGTTACGATCTGTCTGCGTTAGAATAATAATACCAGGCGCCGCGACAACAGACAAAGATTTCCTCACTATCAAAGTAGAAGATCATCTAGATCCAGTTGCACATTTGGGACATCTTTTCGAATCTCATGCCAGTAATAGCAACTTATCTCCGCAAGCAATTTCTAATATCAAAAAACGATGCATCGACTTCAGTGTCAAGTTGGTACAAGAAATTCAGAACAGAATACCTTCTAATTACGAGATCCTAGCAAAAGTAACACTCTTAAGTCCAGAGAACACATTAAAACAGATCAAGGATCCTCATGCACTGGTTGGATTAGCAAGAGAATTGGGATTCGATGACCAAAAGACAGATAAAATTGTTCAACAATGGAAAACTATACAATTCATAGAATGGGAAACTGCAGGAGACAGTGTTAAATTCTGGGCGCAAGTCTTAAAATACAAGAATGCAGCAGGAGTTAATACATTTCGAGAACTAGCTGACTTGGCTATTGCTGCAATGTCCCTTCCTCACTCTAATGCGGAAGTAGAAAGGCTGTTCAGCGTGATGAACACTGTAAAAAATAAATTGAGAAATAGAATGTGTTCATTGACACTCAATTCTATAATAATGATTAGAAATCAATTAAAAATAAAGAAGAAAAATTGTCACAACTATGTTTTACCGCCTGAGGTTTTAAAAAAAATTAAAAAAACTGTCAAACCTTTAAAACAAATCGTAACACCATCTACATCATCATCACCCATTGACGAAGAGGTTATAGAATTACCAGATGACATTGCAGACCTACAAATTGATTATTAATTTTTATTTTTTTTTCAAATAATTTAATTAGTTACTAAATTTTAATTGTAGATACGTACAAACATTATTGTTAGTTTTAATAAATACTTAATTAACTTAAGTATATTAGATCCGGTTTTAATTAAACCCACTTATCCCTAACCTTGTATATTATTTAATTATCAATATAGAATATTAAAGTAGGCAAAGGATATTATGATATTAGCCACTTCTAGCTACTTTTAGATTACGATTTTTTTTAAAAGCTGGCCACTTTTTTATTCTATTTAGCCACAAACTAGATTGTCCAAACGGCAACACTGTTACTCAGTCACCCGCTAGGGGCTAGTGAGTTGACATGTGTTGAATAATTAAACAAAAAATCTCGATAAAATATGCCTTGGTGTGTTTTTAGACATTTCACAAACAATTTACGTTATGTTAGCAAATATTAAGGAATAACTTTTTATCGGTTAATAAGATAGGTACTTAATCAATAAAAAAAGTATTTTAGATTAATAATAAAACAAATTGTTCCTAAGACGCCATCTCGAGTCATGTAATATATACTTATTATGAAATTGATTTGTTCGAATGCGACATTTCTGTAGGTGCTTAAATATATGACAAATATATTATTATACACATTTTTTGTAGAAATATTTATAAGTTATCATAATTAGGCTAATTTTTGTATATTTAAATCTGCTCATTATTCTTTCGTTTTATTTTTAGGTTTCACAAGATATCAAAGTCAAAGTGGCATAAATTCGTCCATTTTTATCGGTATCGGTATCATAAAAAAAAAACACTACGTCAACCATATAATTTAAATAAACTCTGATAGTCAAGCAGAACTGCTAGAGTCAAGCTGCTGAGGTCAAGCTTAGTGAACTGAAGCTAGTTGGAGACTGCGTAAAAAGTTTAAACGCCCTGGGATGTAACAACAGGGTCGTTTTAAGATGGGTTACGGGTCACGAGGGTATTGTAGGCAACGAATTTGCCGACAAACTTGCACGGGAGGGCTCAAAGTGCACACAATTTGGATTTGAGCCATTTTGTGGAATCTCAAGAAGTCTAGCCCGATTGACCCTTGAAGCTCTTTGTCACAATAAATCACTTAAGATCTGGTCTGACACACCAGGCTTAAAACATTCTAAAACCTTAATCCGAGCTTTTGATCGTAAATTCGCTTCAGAAACCCCGGGATTAAGTAAAAATAAATTGCGCATTCTGGCAAGAGCCCTAACTGGACCCAGTTGTCTTAAAAAGCACATGTCCATCCTGGGAGTAAGCAACTCAAGGATGTGTCGGTTCTTTTCTATAACGGAAGAAACGCCTCTGCACATCCTAACTGACTGCGGACCCTTAATGCACAAACGTAACACTCATCTGGGAACTATGTACTCCGCCCAGAAGAAGTGAAATTGCTCATGGCTAAGCAACTCCTTCTATTCATTGAAGACATAGGGCTTAGCAATGAACTATAGCCATAGCAGCGATTACAATAGATCTTCTAGGTTGCAGTGATACTGGTCTGCACTACCTGCATAACTGCTCGTACAAAATTATTTTTTTTTATTGATATCTGTAACGATGACATAAGTAGACGCTTAATAATTTCACCAACATTTTTTCTCCATTGTGTTATTATAAAAAAATACAATAAATTAATAAAAACACCCACTAAAGCTTTTATTGACCGTAATAATTTTTATAATAAATTTGGTTTAAACAGTTGGGAAATAAATTTAATGAAAAAAATCCAGTGGAATTCACATTACTGATCTTGGCACCAATTCAGAGGCGGCTGAGATAATGTTCATTACTGTACTGAAGCCTGCAGCCGTGCGGGTCATTGATCGATAATTAAGTGTTATATTGGAAAATGTAGCGGATATGCTAACTTAGCACCTACAAGAGAATCTACCGCCCATTTTTTACGTGATAGAGCCACGCTGCTGCTGTATTATGGTTATAGCACGAATGGATCGACTCGCCCGGGGACAACACTCAAAATAGCAGCGTCAAATAGCAGCTCAATGGTGTTGTTTTGTATGGTGAGTGTAGAGAAGCGGAGACCCTTTTACTGGAAACGGGGTATCCTCAAGAGTGACAAGGCATTTGCATTTTCATCTTATGGGAGAGGAACGACATTAGTAGTAAAAATTATTATCTTGTTTGTATCTTGATATAAGCATTTAAAACATGTGATCCAAATAATTTTATTTTACCTAGGTTATGTTAGCAGAATGTACAAATTTTACATAATATTTAGATTTTTAGCTTTTGCTTGCATTCTAATATTTAAATATATTAACGGTGGGGATATGGTGCTGACAGCTGATGCACAGGTCTCCAAGTTCGGCTGCAGATGCTATGTTTTCAAGTATATGTACCAATTTAGCTTTATTAAATTTTAATCAATTATCTTCATGTACAACCTCTTTGAAATTAAGAACTTGTTATATTATTATTATATATTATATTATATATTATTATTTTGGTATTCTTAATCTAA